GAAACAGATGATTTGGATATTTCAGTAACTCTTACAAGGAGGCTAATTTCTTCTGTTTGCACTGAAACTAACTGTCCTTTTCCCAACCTCCAACATTGGTTATGTACTAAAGTAAGAGATTTCATGTGAATATTTTGATCTATCTATAAGAAACAATGTAGATGATACTAAGAAAAAAGTGAATTACCAGAGAGAGAAAGAAGCCCTAGGTCAGAACTTGCAATATACAGTAATAATACTCAGCCATAACAATGTGCACAAAGGTCTCCTCACGGCCACAGGACTCTGGAATAATAGCTATTAGAGATTTATGCTGGATTTGTTTTCTGGGTTCACTTGCTTACCCTTTGAGTAGTGTACCAGGTGTGTAGTTAATTCTCAGGGGAGATTTCCCTGAGTACAGAAAACCCTTCTGAGTTTTGCTAGGGGATAAGGTCTTTCCAGTAGGCTGTTCAGGATGCAAGCAGCAACCATAGCAATAGAATTTCTTTTGGATAATTGAGATGCTGCCTTCAGGGAATCTATTGTCCTTATGATTCTGGGGTTGCCTGGTTGTAAATAAGGACATTTGGGAAGTCTGTTTTCAAGGCTTCAGATAGTATTTGGGTTTGAGATCTGGACATTGTATTCTAGGATTTTATATTTTTAAGAGATTCAATTCATTCAGTCATTCAACAGACAGTTGTTGAACATCTAATGTGTGCTAGATGTCATAGATTCAATGGGAATAGGATTTGATCACTGTATTTAGGAATTCATTGAACCGTCTCTTAGAGTTGAGTGGTAATTTCACATGCATTATCTCCTTTAATCAAATGACCACTCTCTGAAGGATGTATCATATTTTAATATACCTTTTTAAGATAGTGTAGCTTAGCGAATTGATACAGTTTGGTTAAAGTTCCTTAGTGTCAAAACGTAGATTTAACAGAGCTTTCTGGCTTCTTGGTCTTGTGTTATTTCTTCTACATCATAGCACAAAATCCTCCTTCTGAGTCTTAGTTTTGTCTTCCATAAATTTAAGGCAGAGCGAACTGTTCTACCAAATTCTCCTCCCTTTCTCTTTAAACAGTTTATGTTTTATGTATAACCAGTATTTGGATACGAGGAATCAGACAAGACTTCAATTTCAGTGACTCATCAACTTCTCTCAAACACCTTGGAACTTTGGTAGGTCAGTTGGCACAATACCTTCCCAATCCTGAACACCTTCAAGTCATGGTGATTTTATCTCCAGGAGCTTCTTAGTGTTAGTCTTCCATGACCTACAGGAGAGCAATTAGAGGTGGGTCTAGTTCTGAAGACTCTTCCTTGCCTTCTTTTATAGTCTGTCCCTTCTCCAGGTCCCACTGGTTGAGTGCTTAGTCAGTAGTGTTTTCTAGGGATCTCCTGCCCCTTCTCTTTCTAAGCCATCAGTATCCCAGCTCTCTTCCTCTGTGTCTCTCGTAAACCATCCCAAGATGCTGGGAGAACAGGATCTTCTGGGATGAACACCATCTAATTTCTTGTTATACGTTGATTTTGTCCTTTCAAAACTTTATATGTTAGAGTCTTAATCTCCTGTACCTCAGGACATGACCTTCTTTGGAAATAGAGTCAGTGCAATTGTAATTAATGAAGTTAGGATGAGGTCATACTGGAATAAGATGTGTCCCTAGTTGAATATGATGTTCTTATAAAAGGGGGGAAATTTGGATACAGATACATACCCAGGTAGTGAAAATGAAGGCACAGATCAAGGCTAAGCATCAGAAACCAACGAATGCCAAAGATTGGCAGCAAACATAAGCTAGGAGAGAGGCATGGAGCAGTTTCTCCTTTACAGACTTGGAAGGAACCAGAATTACTGATACTTTGATTTCTGATGCGTAGCTTCCAGAACTGTGAGACATTACATTTCTTTTGCTTAAGGCACCCAGTTTGTGTACTTTGTTATGGCAGCCCCAGCAAAGTAATATACTGCTTATATAATAATAGAACCAGTTTGGAGATAAAGTTTTTTTTTTTCCCTTGGCTTAGGACAATGTATCCCTTAATTCTCAGTATTCGTAGAATGCCCACTCATACCTTTCAAGTGACTAAATAATTCCACCAGTTGCCCAAAGCCTTGTGCACATGAACCTGGACACTGGTCATCACTTATTACTTATTTTCCTAAGGGCCCACACACAGTATGCACTGAAACCTTACTGTTTTACTCTTTGACTCCACAGGCCTTTGACTACTTGAATATCTAATGGTAATTGTGTAATTCTCAGTGTGCTTCTCACTATAAGAGAAAAGACAATGGTATGCTTTCATTTGCAAAACCTGTTACTATTTGAGATGCTACTTTCCTTCCCACTAGAGAAATACCAGTAAGTGTTGTCCATTTCTCTCCCAAACTGAGCACTCCCTCCCTCCACATCTGATTAAGTTGTCCATTCATTCATCCTTTCATACATCAAACATTTATCAAAGACCAACCACATGTTGTCAGTATAAGGAAGTAAACTGTTGACTTGGCCCTGCAGAGCTCAAAGTCTAGTAGGATAAATACTCAAAGTCTGGTGGGAGAGTCATACATGGGAGGAATTGTTCTCTAACAAGCCCATGGTGGAATGTTTACAACATGAAGCCAGAAGCAAAACTGGTTGAATGTCCTCAGGGGAAAAGTTTTGGAAGTCTTTGCAGAGGAAGTGACTTTTGAAGGATGAGAAAGAATTAATGGCAGTTGGAGGAAAGGCAGAGTAGGGGCAGAGGTTGAGGAAGGGATCCCAGGTAGAGGTGACAAGTGAAAGTCTCTAAGATTTGGGAAAACCTGGCTCTATTTGACTATAGTGTATATAAAAGACACACATATATAGATTTGGCAGGTGATGGGGCCCAAAAATGATGTTGGAGCCAGTAGTGGATGGTTTTCCACATTTGAGAGAAAACAAATAGTTAGATTTATTTCTTTTAAATGATCACTCTGGTGGCAGAGGAACGCATGACTTAGGGCACAGATGGGAGGCTGGAGGCCAGTGGGGAGGCTGTATTTTTTGAGTAAAATAATTAGAACATGGTTCAACAAATATTAAGGTAGTTGTAGGTTTAACAGGACAGAATATTTGAACTCAAATTTCCTTAGAAGATATCCTGTGGCTGTATGTAGGGGCTATGTAGGAAAGAGGGAACGAAATTATAAATCAGGGCAATGTCAATTGGAATGGAGAGAAAGGGATACATTTATGAGTTAAAAAGGACTGCATAGATGACCTATTTAATACGGAAGTGAAAAAGAAACAGGACTCAAAGGTGGCTTCCTGATATTTGTTGATAAGGATAATGGCTGATGGAAATACTAAGAAAAAATAGTGATGGATTTCCTGAGAGTGCTAATGGGTTCAGTTTTAGAAGTACTGTGTTGGATGTACTTATAGAGGATATCTGGGGAGAGAGAATTATACACAGTTGAAAATACTGGAAAGGAGCTCCAAAGGGATATTTCAGGAATAATTTTAACAATAACAAAGTAATATCCACAATTTATTGAACTCTTATGATATGCCAGATACCTACTCAATCCCTGTGTATATTGTTTCATTTAGTTCAACAATGCTATGAAGTATTATCTTCTTTTTATAGATGCCAAACCTAAGATCACAAAGCTAATAGGTAGCAGAATTGGACTTTCTACCTAAGTCTGCTTGATACCAAAGGCAGAGTTCTCAACTCTTCCCTTCTACTACCATCACTGCATGCATGTCTGTGAAGCTGTCAGCTAGGATAAGGTCATACAATGCTTGTACTTGGAAGGGAATCCATAAATATCTGCTAAATACCTGAATGAGGCTCTGGATGTCACCAGGGGTAAGTAGCAGGAAGAAAGGGGCTGCACAGCTGATTGAAAGACAACAACAAACAACAGACACCACTAGTGAAAATACCGTGCCAGCTGCTACTCCATGGAGTAGCAGACACAACCACCTTCACTCTGTTGGAGGGACAAGATTTCCTGGCCCTTACATCTCACAGAAGCTGCCATCAAAGATGGTTCCATCTAACTGGAGTTAGAACACCAAGTCATCCAAGATGCCTTTATGATTCTCATGAAGTGCTATATACTGTCCTACCCCTCCTGCCCAGGAGACCTTCTGGGATTCTGGTATGATAGAAGACGAAGAACCAAGGTCACTGAAATTCAAAGGAAACTGGAAGCAAGAATGAAAATCTTAAAGTAGTACTTTTGACAACGTTAATCAAAATTTACATACCAGGAAGACTGATTTGAAGTTTCAATCTGACACTGAGACTTTTGGGGACCCTCAGTCCTCCGAACAAGTTGCTGTGGTTCTGCCAGGGGAAAACCTTTACATTTTAAAGTCATTTGTCTCCAACTGAATAATAATGTCAAGCCTAAGGATATTCACAGAAATGTCAATATTATAAAAAAAATATCTTAAAAGATGAGAATACTTTTCTGGTTTTTGTATTTTGAGTAATCTGATGTTAAGAATGTGACTTGAATATAAAAATCTCTCAATGTTCTGAATCAAGAACAATTTTTACAATTCACTCACTTTCGGGGATGAGGAATTGGTTTAAATTTAATTTAAATTTAAATTATCCTTAATCTAAATTTCGTGAAAATTTAGATTCATATAATTAAAGTTTGCTTGGAAAGGAAAGCTGAAGTTCTGAAACTTTGTGACCTAGAGCTTTGATATGCATTATTGTTTTCTTTTCTGGACCTTACATTTCAACAGTCTAATCTTTTAAAAGGAATGTATTCATGAAGCAGTAGAAACCACAGCACTGACAAGTCACTTTGATTGAATAGGTGTTTTTATTTTAATTCAATAAGTGAATTAAGGTAGGATTTCTTACTGTTAGCAGTGTTTATCTCACTACAGTAATGGCTATAATATGTTATGTGTGAGATCTTGTACTTCTTTTAGAAAAAGAATATATTGTCTATTAATGAAATAAGGTTTATTAGATCATAATGTTGTCTGAATTTACCACTTTGTCAAAAGAGAAATATGGAACGCTTCACAAATTTGCTTGCCATCCTTGCACAGGGGCAATGCTAATCTTCTCTGTATTATTCCAATTTTAGTACATGACTACTGAAGTGAACATGAGGATATTCCTTTGTAAAGCCCCGTTAAAAACATATTTTCTTCTCTTGACTTTTGTACTCATTTCTTGACTAAAATAGAATTTTAGCACACTGCAAACAACTTTTAACTGTAATTATAAATATTATCTTTTAGTTCCACAGATGATTAAACTTCCTTAAATCATACTTACCTGGGATTAAAAATTAAATTGGTGTTTTATAGGTTTTGTGATCAGGAAAGTATCAATACACATGTACAGATTACATACATGGCCATAAAAGTACACAGTATATCAGAATTTCCCTGAATAAATAGTTATTTGAGCCTCTAAGTTTCAGACATTTATGACCCTCGATCTTTTAAGAAGCTATCTATCTATCTATCTATCTATCTATCTATCTATCTATCTATCATCTATCTATCTAAAGATTTTGTTTATTTATTTGAGAGAGAGAGAGAGAGCATGAGTGGAGGGGAAGAACAAAGGGAGAGGGACAAGCAGACTCCGTGCTGAGAGCAGAGTTGGATGTGGGGCTTGAACTAATGGCCCTGAGACCATGACCTGAGCTGAAATCAAGAGTTGCTTAACCACCCGAGCTATCCAGATGCCTCAACTTACAGTTATTTATATCATCATTAGAATAATTCATTTTCTTTTGGTGAAATTAACTGGAAATTTGGGGTAATTTTGTGATCTAGGATACTGGTTCTCAAATTTCAGTGTATGTTATCAATCAAGGTCCAGTTTGGAGATGGAAACAACACAGTAATTAAAACAGAAAAAATGTTTAATTAAAGAATTATTAACTAACAATGGGACATAGCTACTAAGGGGTTAAAAAGAACTTTAAAGAAAATAAGAATGGCAAATATAGGGAGAAGCCACTAATTCTAGGGTTGAGATAGGGTACATGAGAAATGAACACATTTGGAAGAGGGTTCTCATCCTTTTTGGAGAGGATGTAACTGAGGTTCACTGGATGTACAAGAAGATGACTGAGGTGCCACCAGCTGAATGACTGGAGTCAGTGTCCCATAGGAGAGCATCTGCAAAGACCTTGAAGTGGTTAAGAATTTACAGCCATTTAAATATTAGAACACTTATACTGATTCACTAATTTCTAGGGGTATTTTGAAGCTTTTATAGATATTGAAATAAGAAAAAGTGTCTTACATTTTGCAGATTGTTTCCTGTATTTTTTCTCATTCAAAACCCACAAGTCTTTATACTTTGATATGTCCTCTCCTACCTTTTCCTAAGGATAAAGGCCAAATTCCTCAGAATGACTCATGTTTTCAAGGCATGAAACTAATATATTTTCCTAGATTCTTTCTCATCAGTTCCTATGCTCCCATTCCTAAAAGTTATGATGGATGCTTTCTTGTTCTCCATTTAACCTCCTCATTGGATTTATAATATTCCCTATTCTTTCTGTGAAACACACTAAATTTATGTTTATAACCTTCAAAACACATCTGGCTTGCAGAACACCCTCTACTGTGCCCTAAAATTCTACTTCGACAAGTTGGAGTTGTATACTCACAAAGAATCACGTATGTGTGCTCCCAGATTTGTTTGATTCAGTTAATTTTATTATTATAATCATATAATTAAAGTGAATATAAAGCATTATAATATTAGTGCAAAAAGAGAAGTGCATTTTAAAAAATAAAATTGATAATCTCTCTTTCCAGCAAGCTGGTAAACAAAACAGTTAGAAAATTCTCTTTCTAATAGCTTCTATACATGCTGGAAAAAATATAATAAAAATTCTTAGAAATGTATAACTGCTTTTATGAGAAAATGGAAAATGGAAAAAGAAGAAGCTGTAAATCAAAGAAGTATGAGTCTGAGCTGATGCTAAGTCTTCCCTGGAGGTTGAGGCAGGAGGGTTTTAATGCTTACAATAGAGAGGAAATGAGGCTGGTCTTGTATAGGCAGAGAATTTGAAATAAAACCCTGTATAAAGCCTGGATTTTGAAAGTCTGAGCCCTCTGTGTAAAGGTGAACTGAAAAACAATTCATGTACCAACATAAGGAGATGATGAGAAAGCTTATCTGTGTGTATGGGATGCGGGGACAGGGATGAGGGAAAAACAGGAAAATCTCTTCCAAAAACCTGAAGCCCAGGGTTTGAAATTATAATATTCACATGTTGTGGGTACCCTCAAGCCAAGAAATTCAATAAAATTGCAGTGGGCAGATGATGTCCCTGGGATACTTTACAAAAGCAAATGCAAAACCACTTTGGAAGATCATACTTTCACCCCCGTGGCAAAGGATTTCAGTAGAACTTGCTGAAGATGAGGTCATAATCCACGATCATAAAACAGATGAGGAAACATCATGCCATGAATGAGAGCCTCCTGGCACAATAAATAAAAGAATGACTTTCCCAAGCCTTCAGATAAAGAAAGATCCCTAATTTTTGAAGCTAATATAGTTTTGATAGCAAAACTAGAAAAAAGAAAATATGTATATAAGAAATTATAGGCTATGCTCACTTATGAACAGAGATGAGTATACATTTATAACAAATAAATATAGGAATATTCAACACATAACAATTTTACTATAATATTAAGGGAGAACAACCATTTAATACCTCAAAATTTGCAAAAAAAAATTCTGGGAAACTGTCAACATTCAATTATGATAAAATCTATTAGCAAACTAGAATAGAACAAAATTTCTTTAATCATAAAAGTAACAAGTTATGTATGAATATCATACTTAGAAGCATTCTAGGTAAGAAACAGACATACATATTCTCTATTCTTGCTCACATTCAGCATTGTATTAGAAGTCCTAGTCAGCACAATATGAGAAAAAAAGAGTGGCATTTGGAATTGTTTGCAATGTCTACATAGAAAATACAAGACTTAGCAAATGATTAGCATTAATCAGTAGGGTAAACAATACTACTTGATTTATCAACAATATCAAAATATAATTTAAAAAATATGTTATTTGTAATTGTAAGAAACACTCTAAGATACAGTATACTGTTTTTCCCTATACAGACATACCTATGATAAAGTTTAATTTATAAATTAGACACAGTGAGAGAGTAACAATAACAATAGTAAAATAGAACAATTGCAGCAATGTACTGTAATAAAAGTTATGTGAATATGTTCTTTCTCTCTCAATATCTTATTATACTGAACTCAACATTCTTTTTCTTGGGATGATGTGAGATGATAAAATGCCTAAATAATGGGATGAAGTGAGGTGAATGACATAGGCATTATGACACAGTGTTAGGCTACTGTTGACCTTCTGTTGATATATCAGAAGGAAGGCCATCTGCTTTGGGATGGTAGTTGACCATGGGTAACTGAAACCATTGTAAGTGAAACTGGGGATGGAATGAGGGGGAAGTTTAGGGGGTGATGGGAAGGGGATTACTATAACATGTAATTCACAGGGGCTGAAACCTTTTGGCCAATAAAAATGTAAGAAATGTCCAATCTCTAAATAGATGATACCATGATGTTATTAGTAAGATTAGCAAAAATTAAGAAGTCTGATAACTCCAAGTATTTGTGAGGATGTGGGAACATGGCTGGTGGGACCATAAATAGGACAGCTACTTTGGAGAACTATTTGTTAATATCAAGTAAAATTAGAAATGCACAGAATCTATGGCCCAGCAATTCTTTTGCTACCTATGCACTAGAGCTATTGCACAGCAGAAACCCTGGAGTTGTGCAATGTGCAGTCTCTTGTATCATAGGGCAGCTTTCACAAATGTGCACAAAGAAACCATTCTAAAAACTGGAGGAAGTTTGATTTCATACTCATTAGAAATTGTCCTGTTCCCACTCAAGTACAAGAAGCTGAAACTGGAAACTGTAGACATAATTTTAAGAAATACACTGCATGATTGCTGTCCAAAGACGTATACTAAAGAAAAATTTTTTTGCCCTATGTCAAAAGATTAAAGAAAATATATACCTTGATATGTTTATATAAGAATGTAAAGTTCTGAGCAAAACAAAATCCAATTCATTTTTGTTTTACAAACTGTATTTCTGGAAAATTAAAAAAATATTTCTGGATAAATGAATGGTGCCAAAAACAAAACAAAATATATCCTTTGTGGTTTATCTATAAAACTGAGTTAACATAAGGCTCAGATAATTTTAAGCGGGTTTTTTAGGTCCTAAATGTCTGGCACGACATTTGACATTTGAAAATCATGTCAGAAGCAGGACTGCTTTTGGTAGAGAGAGCTGACCCTGGTTGAGGACGGTTAGTTTTCCTGACTCTACCCACTAACTGCCAGTTATGCCCCAGTCACTGAGACAATAAGGCCCCTGGAGATGAGAGCGGCTGTTCATCTAGACTAAACTCAAACACTTTCTTCTTCCTGGAGAGTTCTTTATTATTCATTTTTCTGTGCTTGCATAGTGCACGTGACCCCTGTAACATTTATCCCATTGCACAAGGATGAGCTTTTAACCAATCTGTTCTCCCTTCCATGTCATGGCTACCCAGAGGACTGGGACCATGTATTATTTTAAATACCTGAAAGTACTCAATAAATGTTTGTTGTATAAAAATAATGTAATTCAATCCAGCCTTTTACGCTTGAGTTTGTAGTATGTCACTGGACTGCTTGCTGCCTGTTTTTTATTCTCCTCTTCCAATGAAAGCTTTTATCTATAAAAGGTTAAAAAATGGAGTCTTTTAGCAGAAGTCATCTTCAGTTTCCTAAAAACATCTGTAGTGTACTGATGGCACCTTACATCAATCCTTATTAACTGAATGTCTTTATCTACAGAGGAATTAGGGTAAGAGGATCAAGCTCTTGTTAGAGAAATATGTAATTTATCTGGCCAACATTTAAGAAATACTGAAAAAATGTATTTTGCATGCTTTCTTCACTCCTCAGTAAGGGGAGACATCCTTATTCTCCCCCGCCCCTCGCCGCCCTTCTTTTGGCTTTATCTTTTTGAAGCAACTCTCATTTGCCTAGTTCTGTCCAACATTATTATAAATATGAACCCC